AGCTATGATAATCAAAACAGCATGGTATTGGTAGAGAAACAGACACACAGATCAATGGAACAGAATAGAGAGCCCAGCTATAAAATCACACATATATGGACAGATAATTTTTGACAAAGGAGCCAGAAATGCACATTGGAGTAAAGATAGTCTCTTCAATAAATTGTGCTTGATAAACTGGAAAGCCACATACAAATGAATGAAACTGGGTTACAGTTTGTCCCCATGTACAAAAATTAATTCAAAATGGATCAAAGACCTAAACATATGACCGGAAACAGTAAGTTACATTGAAGAAAATATAGGTACCAAACTTGACCTGAAAGGCAAGGGAGGTAAAGGTAAAAATAAATGAATAGGAACATATCAAACTGAGGAGCTTTTGCACAGCAAAAGAAATGGACAACAAAACAAAGAGGCAGCTAACCAGATGGGAGATGATATTTGCAAACAGTAGCTCTGACAGAGGTTTAATTTCGAAAACATATAAAGAACTCGTAAAACTCAACCCAAACAAACTAACAAACAACCCAATCAAAAAGTGGACAGAGCCCTGGCTGGTTTGGCTAAGTGGATAGAGCGTTGGCCTGCGGACCAGAAAGTTCAGGGTTCAATTCCAGTCAAGGGCACATGCACGAGTTGCGGGCTTGATCCCCAGCAGGGGCATGCAGGAGGCAGCCAATTAGTGATTCTCTCTTATCATTGATGTTTCTATCTAACTCTCCCTCTCCCTTCCTCTCTGAAGTCAATAAAAATATTTTTTAAGAAAAATGGGCAGAGGACCTGAAAATACACCTCTCCCAAGAAGGCATACAAACAGCCAATAACTTTATGAAAAGACTAGAGGCCTGGTGCATGAATTTGTGCACGGGTGGGGTCTCTTAGCCTGACCTGTGGGGCCCATTGGGGCCATCTTGCCCAGTCCCGATCAGGGCCCCGAGGGGCCAGCTGGCCAGGGGAAGGGACTGTGGGAGGTTGGCTGGCTGCCGGAAGTTGGCTGTGGGAGCGCACTGACCACCAAGGGGCAGCTCCTGCATTGAGTGTCTGCCCCCTGGTGGTCAGTGCGTGTCATAGCCACCAATCATTTGGTCAACCGGTCATAATGGTTGCTTAAGCTTTTATATATATAGATGTTCAACCTTGAGATAAAAGATGGCAGTGGAGTAAGTGGCTGCTGCACAGACATGCTCCCAGGACCAAACTGGAATTACAATTAAAATACAGAAAAACTTCCTGACTAATCAATTGAAGACTCACTGGAGAGAACCCTGATGACTGAAGATGGTAATTGGAGACCCCATAGAGCCTGGTAGGAGGGGCAGAGGCACGAAAGGGCTGGCTGGGCTCCCACATACAGCAGCTGAAGTTCCAGAGAGATATCTCAGCTGTGGGGAGTTGCCACTGAGAACTCTGGAGTCTAATCCCCAAGCTGCCCCCCCCCCTTGCAGGGAACACCAGAACTAAAAAGGGTACCCAAACAACATCTGGCTGTGAAAAGCAGTGGAGTTGCTGTCTTCTAGGGAGAAATGGCTGGAAATACAGAAACCCCCTTAAAGGGCCAAAAGCACAAAATTCCCTGTGGAGCCACTCACCTTGTGCTCCGGCAGAGGGAGGGCAGAGTGGACTGGAGCTGTGTTAGCAGAAGCCATGATTGGGGGCTCTGGAGTTAGAACTCACAAGGCAGACACCTCAGTTTTCTGTGCTGAGTCATTCCCTCACATTGTGGAGGTCATCTTTCTCATGCAGATATTTGCTATACAGGTGGCTTTGCCTGGGGGGAAGACAGTTGACCCACCCAATTGGAAAACACCTTGTCCCACAGAGCGGAGTTTCTGAGGCCCATTAAGAGACTGAGAATAACAGTTAGCCCTGGAATGCCTCTAGGATTTATTTTCTCTCATGAAGAAAAATTTTCTACTTGAGGTACATGGGAAGCTTTGTTAAATAAAGAAATAATAACTAAAAAAAAGATGTTCAACCTCACTGGCAATTAGGGAAATACAAATCAAAACTACAATAAGATACCACCTTACACCTGTTAGAGTGGTTATTATCAACAAGACAAGCAATAACAAGTGTTGGAGAGGTTGTGGAAAAAAGGTAACCCTCATTCAGTGCTGATGGGAATGTAGACTGGTACAACCACTATGGAAAGCAGTCTGGCAATTCCTCAAAAAATTAAGAATAGAGCTACCATATGACCCAGCAATCCTATTCCTGGGTATCTATATATATAAAAGCCTAAGCGATTATTGTGACTGGAACGACTGGTTGACCGGTCGCTATGATGTGCACTGACCACCAGGGGCAGATGCTCAAAACAGGAGCTTCCCCTGGTGGTCAGTGCGCTCCCACAGCCAACCCCCTGCGGCCGGCCAACCTCCCACAGCCCCTCCCCCCCCCCCCTAGGGTTTAAATTTTTTAGGGTCCCCCGCCATAGGCAGGGGGGGTGGATCCCCCCAACCCAATTGGAATTTTCTAGGAACATCCCCCAGGCCCCCAAGCCCCCCGCTAAACCCCATTCATGGGCTTGGGAGGGGGGACCCCATCTTTTCA